TCGTGCCAGCCAATCTGCGTAAGCCGGTCCTGATCGGGCTTGATCTGGTGCGCGCGGCCGCGGCACTGTGCCTGCCTTTCGTGAATCAGATCTGGCAGGTGTACCTGCTCATCGCTCTTCTGCAGTCGGCATCAGCCTGCTTCACGCCGCTGTTCCAATCGACCATTCCGGAAATCCTCAAGGAAGAGCGCGACTACACCCGTGCATTGTCCTTGTCGCGGCTGGCGTATGACCTGGAAAGCCTGCTCAGCCCTGCGCTGGCGGCGGCCCTGCTGACACTGATCAGCTTCCATGGCCTTTTCGCCGGTACGTCGGTGGGCTTCGTCTGCTCAGCGCTGCTGGTCGTGGTCACGGCATTCCCCTTCGTTGCAGCCTCGCCGCGCAAGGAAGGCCCCTATGCACGGGCCATCCGTGGCATGCGTATCTATCTGAAGACGCCTCGACTGAAAGGCCTGCTGGCGCTGAACCTGTGCGCTGCCGCGGGTGGTGCGATGGTATTCGTCAATACGGTGGTGGTCGTGCGCAACGTGCTGGGCGGTGCTGAAGCCCAGGTCGCCTGGGCCCTGGCTGCGTTCGGCGGCGGCTCGATGCTGATGGCGTTGGTTCTTCCCAAGGTACTGGACCGCGTACCGGACCGTCGCGTGATGCTCTCTGCAGCCAGCATGATGCTTGCGGTGCTTACCGCCTTGGGGGTTACGTGGTGGCTGACGCCCTCCGCGATCGGCTGGCCCCTGGTGCTGTCCGGCTGGGCATTGCTGGGCATGAGCTACGCCGGCTTGGTGACACCAGGCGGCCGGCTGCTACGGCGCTCGGCAGAGTCCACTGACCTTCCTTTCCTGTTCGCCGCGCAGTTCTCGCTTTCCCACGTCTGCTGGCTGATTGCCTACCCACTGGCCGGTACCGTGGGGGCACGCCTGGGCATGCCGGTGGCGGTTCTGGCGCTCGCGGTGGTGGCCTGCGCGGGGCTTCTATTCGCCTGGCGTACCTGGCCTGCGAATGATCCTGACGCAATCACCCACCGACATGATGATCTCCCTGCGGACCACCCGCACATGCAGGAACACGCGCATACGGAACAAGGCCACTCGCACCGTTTTGTCATCGATGACAACCATACCCGTTGGCCCGGATGAACGACGAGTCACCAGAGATGCCCAGTAGCGCGCGCACGCTGAACACCCCCCCTTTTTCGTGTCGACTTTGATCCAGCAACACACTAGTCTTTGAGCATGACATCACTGCGCCGGATATCGAATGTGCGACTGCTCACCAGCATCTTTCTGATGCTGGTGGCGAGCATGTTCCTGCGCCCGGTGCTGAATCATCTTGGCGAGCTGCATGGTCTGCAGCACATGGTGCAGACCGCAGCCGAACATGGACATCCGCACGCGGGCGATCGTGATGCTGCAGATCGGGATCCTCTGCACGCGTCGGGCGGCCATGGCGTGCTGCACCAGTCCGATCTGGGCGGGTCACTTGGCATCCTGCTGGACGTAGCACTCCACGATCCAGCCATCGGCCGTGGTGCGCACCCTTGGCATCGCCAGGCAGCGTTCATTGCCCATCACTGCTCATCGTTGTTCAGGCCTCCCATCGTCGCGGCCTGATGCCGGGCGCATGTCTGCCGCGCTGCCTGCTTTCTGCGGGCGTGCGGCTGGCTTGCGGCTAGACGCATCGCAGTTCCCCTCTGTATTCCGGCCACGATCCGGCTGACTCCTGCGCCACCGCGCGGTAACGACGTGCATGCGTGCCCTGGCACACATCTGCATGGCGTTGCCGTGCGCCTGTGGCGGGGCGCGGCGCGGAGGTCCGTGGCATGTCATGTCACTCAAGAACTCCATCATGATCCCCAGACCACATTCCGGGTTATCCACCCGTACCCATCCCATGGCCATGCCGTCGCACTGGCCGCGCACGCTGCTCGCAGCGATAACCATGTTGCTACTTGTTTTCACTGCCGATGGTGCTCTGGCGCATGCCATCGCCGAGGGCGACAAGGGTTACATCCAAGAGATATCAGGGGTAAATCTGATCGCCTTCGCTTACCTGGGCGCCAAGCACATGGCCACCGGGTATGACCACATTCTGTTCCTGCTGGGCGTGATCTTCTTCCTTTACCGGATGAAGCATGTCGCGCTGTACGTCACCCTGTTTGCCATCGGTCATTCCACGACGATGCTGCTGGGTGTGCTCTTCAATGTGGGCATCAACAGCTATCTCATCGATGCGATCATCGGCTTGTCAGTGGTCTACAAGGCGCTGGACAACCTCGGTGCCTACCAGCGTTGGTTCGGCTTCCAGCCCAATACCAAGGTCGCGACACTGGTGTTCGGACTGTTCCATGGCTTTGGCCTGTCCACCAAGATCATCGAGTACGACATCTCCCCCGATGGTCTTCTTCCGAACCTGCTCGCCTTCAACGTCGGGGTGGAAATGGGGCAGATGCTTGCCCTGGGCGCCATCCTGATTGTGATGGGCTACTGGCGCCGCACCGCCAGCTTCTTCAAGCACGCCTACTTCGCCAACGCGGCAATGCTCTGCGCAGGTTTCGTCCTGATCGGCATGCAGCTGACCGGCTACGCCATTTCCTGAATCCTTGAGAGATCCCTACCATCATGTACAACAGCAAGCCCCTCGAAAGTGACCTCCCCAGCAGCCGCCAGCTGGCGCGCACTACCCTCATCGCCGCCGGCATCGCCGTCGTGCTTCTCATCGGTGTCGTGCTGCCTGCGGAACACGCCGTGGATCCGTTGGGTATAGGCCGAATGCTGGGTCTGACCGAGATGGGACAGATCAAGCAGCAACTGTCCGAAGAAGCCGCAGCGGATGCGGCCATGGATGCCCGGGCCGAGGAGGGCCTCGCCGTGCTCACCCAGGTCTCCACGCGGGATCGCCAGACAGTCGAAGTCACTCCCAAGCCGGCCGCTGCTTCGGCCTCAGCGCCCGCAGCCACGGAATGGCGTGACGAAGCCGAAGTCGTGCTGGCGCCCGGTCAGGGTACCGAAATCAAGCTTTCCATGAAGGAAGGCGAGCGTGCGACCTACACCTGGTCGGTCCAGGGCGGGGTGGTGAACTTCGACACCCATGGTGACGGCGGTGGTCGTGCGATCAGCTATGAGAAGGGGCGAGGTGAGGCGTCCGACCAGGGCGTACTTCTGGCCGCCTTTACGGGCAACCACGGCTGGTTCTGGCGCAATCGCGGCGAGGAACCGGTCACCCTGCTGCTGCGTACGGGCGGGCAGTATGAACAGCTGAAGAAAATGTAAGACCAGGCCAGGAGGGCGTGCCCGGGGCAGCCGGGTACGCTCCTCTGCAAACATTCGTCCTACCATCTCGACAAGGCCACGTGCCACATTTACCCTAGATCCCATGCGTCTTTCCGCCCGCCACCGTGTGCTCGCCCGCATCAGCCTTTTCGCGCTGATGCTGCTGAGTGTTGTGGCGCGGCCGATGGTGATCCAGCTGAGCGAACTGCATGGTCTGGAGCACGACATCGCCGCTGCGTTCGACCATGGGCATTCCCATCCGGCCGGAGCCAGTGACAACCTCGACGACGACCACGCCTCTGGTGCGCACAGCGTGCTGCACCAGGCAGACGCAAGCTTCGCAGGGAGCCTGTTCAATGGCCACCACCAGGTAGTCGCTCTCGCACTGAGCGCCGACGTGCCCGCATTGCGGCTGCTGCGCGTGCCTTTGGGTTATCCCGCCTCGCCCTTCCGGCCTCCGATCGTCTGACAACGCCTGCCGCGTCCGCGCGGCCTGTTCTGCTGCCTGCCTTAGCGGGCGGCAGCGCGTTGTTCTAACATCTTTCCGGAGGCTTCCGTGAAATTCCGTAGTGTGTGGGCGCTGGCCATTGCCGGCGCCTGCGGTATGGCCGTGCCTGGCCATGCCGCCGAAGTTCTGCGCCTGGAGGAAGCGGTCGCCCGCGCCCTGGGCAGTCATCCGAGCGCCGCAGCTGATGCCGCCCAGCTGGAGGCAACCCGCAGCCGTGCAGCCCGGGAGGGCCTGCCGGCGCCCATCATTCTGGGCGGGGAACTGGAGAACGTTGCTGGCAGCGGCAGCGTTTCAGGGATGGATGCCGCTGAGGCAACGTTCCGCGTATCCCGCCTGCTGGAACTCGGCGGCAAGCGCGCTGCGCGACAGGCATTGGGCGGCGCGGAGATCGACGCGGCCCAACGGGCAGGGGACGTGACTCGCGTAACCATCGCCACCCGAGCCGCAGGACGGTTCATCGATGTGCTGGCCGCGCAGGAGCATGTGGAACACGCGCAGGAGCGCATCGCGATGGCGCGCGCCCTGCAGCGAGAGGTCGGGCGTTGGGTCTCGGCGGCGCGCAATCCTGATTCCGACCTGCGAGCGGCAGAAATCGCAGTTGCCGACGCCGAACTCAAGCGCGATCAGGCGCTGGAGCGTCTGGAGTCGACACGCCATGCGCTCGCAGCTTCATGGGGTGCGTTGACGGTCGACTTTGGCGCCGTCGCTGGTGATACCTCGGTGCTGCCCCCCCTTGAGCAGTTCCAGGCGATGGCCGCGAAGCTGCCTTCGACACCTCAGCAACAGCTTCTTGAGTCCCAGGCAGGCGTGCTGACCGCGCGCCGTAACGTGGCGCTTGCCGCCGCCCGGCCAGATGTCAGCGTGGGCCTGGGCATTCGCCGGCTGGAAGCCACCAAAGACAGCGGATTGGTGATGTCGGTTTCTGTCCCATTGGGCAGCCGCAAGCGATCAGCGTATTCCGTTTCTGAAGTCGACCACGAGCTGTCTGCCCTCAGTGCCCGGCGCCAAGCGCAGGCCGTTGAACTGCAACAGGAACTTTTCGATATCTACCAGCAATTGCGGCAAGCGCAGCTGGAGGTCGAGTCGGTACGCGAACGCCAGCTGCCCAAGGCCGAGGCAGCACTGAAGCAGAGCCGGCGCGGCTTCGAGGAGGGCCGATTCTCCTATCTGGCGCTGGGCCAGGCGCAGAAGACCCTGTTCGACCTTCGCGAGCGCGAAGTTGAAGCCGCCGCCCGCTATCTCCGACTGCTGGTCGAGGCAGATCGCCTCACCGCCTCCGCTCTGGACATCCGCCCATGAACCGCTACGCATTCCTGATCATGTTCCCCTTGGTCCTTTCCGCCTGCGGCGGTGACAAAGCCGCGACCGAAGCCTCTACCGAGACAGCTGCCGCATCCGCCGACTACGAACGAGGGCCGAATCGAGGGCGCATGCTGCGTGACGGCGATTTTGCCCTCGAGATCACCGTTTACGAAACCAACACGCCGCCACACTTCCGTCTTTACGCGTATCGCAACGACAAACCGATTCCGCCTTCCGAAGTGCAGGCGAGCATGCAGCTCAAGCGTCTGGACGGCGAGGTCAATACCTTCAGCTTCAAGCCGGAGAACGGCTACCTCGTCGGCAGTGGGGAGGTCACTGAGCCGCACTCGTTCGATGTGGTGGCCGAAGCCACCGCAGCAGGCAAGTCCCATCGCTGGAACTACCCCTCCTATGAAGGCCGTACGCGAATCGAACCACAAGCAGCTAAGGACGCGGGCATCGTGGTGGAAGCAGCAGGCAGTGCCAGCATCCGCGACACAGTGACCTTGATGGGCAACGTGACGGTCAACACGGCGCGGCAAGCCGCAGTGAAAGCACGCTTTCCCGGCGTGGTGCGCAGCGTTGCAGTCGAGATGGGCCAGCGAGTCAGTGCGGGCCAGACTCTGGCCACGGTGGAAGGCAACGACAGCATGCGCAGCTATGCCGTCATCGCGCCGTTTGGCGGAATTGTGTTGGCGCGTAATACCAGCGTTGGGGACGTGGCGGCAGACAACACGTTGTTCGAGATCGCCGACCTCTCCGAGGTATGGGTAGACCTGCGGGCACTGGGCACCGACGCCGAGCGGCTTGCTGCAGGCCAGGTGGTGACGCTTCGCTCAGCCACTGGCGCCCATGAAACCCAAGGACGGGTGCAGAGCCTGCTCCCCTTGGCCAGTGCCGGCCAAAGCGTAGTCGCACGGGTCAGCATCCCCAATGAAGACGGCCGGTGGCGCCCGGGTATGGCCGTGTCGGCCGAGGTCGTGTTGTCCGAAACCCAGGTCCCGTTGGCAGTCAAGGAATCCGGGCTGCAGCGCTTCCGTGACTTCACCGTGGTCTTCGCACAGGTGGGCGACACGTATGAGGTGCGCATGCTTGAGCTCGGCAAGCGCGATGGGCAGCTGGTCGAGGTACTCGGTGGCCTCAAGCCCGGTACCCGTTATGTCAGCGAGCAAAGCTACCTGATTCGCGCGGACATCGAAAAGTCTGGCGCGAGCCACGATCACTGAGGGGCATCCCATGCTAGAGCGAATCATTCGCGCGTCCATCGCGCATCGATGGCTTGTGCTGCTGCTCGTGCTGGCGCTGTCCGGCCTGGGCATCTGGAACTACAGCAAGCTTCCCATCGACGCCGTGCCTGACATTACCAATGTACAGGTACAGATCAACACCGAAGCCCCTGGCTATTCGCCACTGGAAGCCGAGCAGCGCGTGACTTTCCCGGTTGAAACCGCACTGGCCGGGTTGGCACGTCTGGAGTACACACGCTCAATCTCGCGCTACGGCCTTTCGCAGGTGACCGTGGTATTCGAGGATGGGACAGATATCTACTTCGCCCGCCAGCAGGTTGCTGAGCGTCTGCAGCAGGCGGCCTCCCAGTTGCCCAATGGCCTGAAGCCAACACTGGGACCGGTTGCCACGGGCCTGGGCGAAATCTTCATGTACACCGTGGAGGCCGAACCAGGAGCTGAGAAAACCTGGACGCCAATGGCACTGCGTACCCTGCAGGACTGGGTGGTACGCCCGCAGATGCGGCACCTGAAGGGCGTGACCGAGGTCAACACCGTGGGCGGTTACGTCCGCCAGTTCCATATCACGCCAGACCCCCGCAAGCTGCAGGCCTATGGCCTGACCCTGCAGGACGTCATGGAGGCCGTTGCCCGCAGCAATGCGAACGTCGGTGCGGGCTACATCGAGAAGAGCGGCGAGCAATACCTGGTACGCGTGCCTGGGCAGGTTGCCGACATGGACGGCCTGCGCAAGATCGTGGTGGCCAATCGTGAGGGGCTGCCGCTGCGAGTAGGCGATCTTGCTGATGTCCACGAAGGCACCGAGCTGCGGACCGGCGCCGCCACCAAGGATGGCAAGGAAGTTGTGCTTGGCACGGCCTTCATGCTGATCGGCGAGAACAGCCGGGCCGTTGCCCAGCGCACCGCTGCCAAGCTGAAGGAGATCGACGGCACGCTGCCCGAGGGCGTTCGTGCACACCCGGTGTATGACCGAACCGAGCTGGTGGATCGCACCATTGAAACGGTGAAGAAGAACCTCCTGGAGGGCGCGCTGCTGGTCATCGCGGTGCTGTTCCTGCTGCTGGGCAATCTGCGCGCCGCGCTCATCACCGCTGCGGTCATCCCGTTGACCATGCTGCTAACGATCTCCGGAATGGTGCAGAACCGGGTATCGGCCAACCTGATGAGCCTCGGTGCGCTCGACTTTGGCCTGATCGTGGACGGCGCGGTCATCATCGTGGAGAACTGCCTGCGCCGCTTCGGTGAACGCCAGCATGCGCTGGGACGCCTGTTAACGCGCGAGGAGCGATTCTCCCTGGCCGCTTCGGCAAGCGCCGAGGTCATCAAGCCCAGCCTGTTCGGTCTGTTCATCATCGCGGCGGTGTACATCCCGATCTTCGCGTTGTCGGGTGTGGAAGGAAAGATGTTCCATCCCATGGCCTTGACCGTGGTAATCGCCCTCACCGGTGCCATGGCGTTGTCGCTGACGTTCGTGCCGGCTGCCGTGGCGCAGTTCGTCACCGGCAAGGTGTCCGAGAAGGAAACCAAGGTCATGCGTGGCGTAACCCGCCTGTATGGCCCTCTGCTGGAGCGGGCGGTCAGTGCCCGTAGGTGGGTGGTCGGCGCAGCGGTTGCACTTACCGTGGTGGCCGGCATCGGTGCCAGTCGCATGGGTACAGAGTTCATCCCCAACCTGGATGAAGGCGATATCGCCCTGCACGCGCTGCGCATCCCCGGAACCAGCCTTACCCAAGCCATCGGCATGCAACGCCAGCTGGAAGCTGCCATCAAGCAGTTCCCTGAAGTCGACGAGGTGGTGGCCAAGATCGGTACTGCCGAGGTGGCGACCGACCCGATGCCTCCGTCGGTCGCCGACACCTTCATCATGCTCAAGGATCGGGACCAGTGGCCGGACCCGCGCAAACCAAAGGCCCAGCTGATTGCCGAGCTGGAGAAGACCGTCAGAGCCATCCCCGGCAACAACTACGAGTTCACTCAGCCGGTGCAGATGCGCATGAATGAGCTGATCGCCGGCGTGCGCGCGGAAGTGGCGATCAAGCTCTATGGCGACGATCTGGATCAACTCGCACAGATCGGCAGCCAGATCGAGGACGTTGCCAACCGGATCACCGGCGCAGCGGACGTGAAGCTGGAGCAGGTCTCGGGCCTTCCGTTGATGACCATTACGCCTGACCTGGACGCGTTGGCGCGCTATGGCGTGGCAATCGACGATGTGCAGAAGACCGTATCGGTCGCATTGGGTGGGGAGTCCGTTGGCCAAGTATTCGAAGGTGATCGTCGTTTCGACATCGTCGTGCGGCTGCCCGAGAACCTGCGTCAGGACACGCGCACGCTGGAATCACTGCCTGTACCGGTGTCAGGTTCGACAGAGGCCGATGCTGATCGCGGTTTCGTTCCGCTGGGGCAGCTGGCCAAGGTTGAGGTGGCTCCAGGCCCGAATCAGATCAGCCGCGAGAACGGCAAGCGGCGTGTGGTTATCACCAGCAACGTCCGCGGACGCGATCTCGGCTCGTTCGTCGAGGAGCTGCGCGCCGCCGTCGGAGATGAAGTCCAGCTGCCTGAAGGTTACTGGGTGGAGTATGGCGGCACGTTCCAGCAGCTCATCTCGGCCAGCGAGCGGCTGATGGTGGTGGTGCCCGTAGTGCTGGTGATGATCTTCGGCCTGCTGTTCATGGCGTTTGGTTCGGGACGTGATGCCGCCATCGTTTTCAGCGGCGTGCCGCTCGCCCTTACCGGCGGTGTGGCGGCTCTGTGGCTGCGTGACATTCCGCTGTCCATCTCGGCCGGTGTCGGGTTCATCGCGCTTTCGGGCGTGGCGGTACTGAACGGCCTGGTGATGATCAGCTTCATCAAAAGCCTGCGGGAACAGGGTGTGCCTCTCCACCGCGCTGTCAGCGAGGGGGCAGCGGGACGCTTGCGACCTGTGCTGATGACTGCCCTGGTCGCCAGCCTGGGCTTCCTGCCCATGGCACTGAACGTCGGTGCCGGCGCTGAAGTACAGCGTCCTCTCGCCACGGTGGTCATCGGCGGCATCGTCTCGTCCACGCTTCTGACGCTGCTGGTGCTTCCTGCGCTTTACCGCCTCATCCATCGCGAGGGCGATACGTCCAAGGATGAAGCCGAATGACGCTTTCCCTTTTTCCAACGTTGAGGAACCTACGCTTGATTCCGTTGAACAGACCGTTGTCGTGGCTCCTCCTGCTGGCCGCGCTGTTGATTCCCTGGGCTGCGTTCGCCCACGGTGTCAGTGAGGGTGACCAAGCCTTCCTGGAGGACAGCACGGGCACCCAGCTGATTGCATTTACCTACCTGGGTGCCAAGCACATGGTCACAGGGTACGACCACCTGCTGTTTCTGTTCGGGGTGATCTTCTTCCTGTACCGGATGCGTGATGTCAGCATCTACGTGACCTTGTTCGCCATTGGTCACAGCACGACGCTGCTGCTGGGCGTGTTGGGTGGCTTCCACGTGAATGCCTACGTGGTGGACGCCATCATCGGACTGTCAGTGGTCTACAAGGCACTGGACAACATGGGGGCGTTCAAGCGCTGGTTCGGCGTGCAGCCCAACACCAAAGCAGCCGTGCTGATCTTCGGCTTCTTCCATGGCTTCGGATTGGCAACGAAGTTGCAGGATTTCACCCTGTCCGCTGACGGGCTGGTGCCCAACATGCTGGCGTTCAACGTCGGCGTGGAGCTGGGCCAGCTGCTGGCCTTGGCCGGCATCCTGATTCTGATGGGCTTCTGGCGTCGCCTGCCGTCCTTCCATCGGCAGGCCTACAGCATCAATACCGTCCTGATGTGTGCCGGCTTCGTGCTGATGGGCATGCAACTGACGGGCTACTTCGTTTCCTGACCTTTGATCGAGGCTTTCAATGTCCATTTCCATCAATCAGCAACTTCCCAGCACTCGCCGACTGCTCAAATCGACCGCGCTCGCCGTGGCGGTCGCTGGTGTGATTCTGATCACTACCGTACTGCCCGCCGAGTACGGCATTGACCCGACTGGCGTGGGTCGTGCCCTCGGTTTGGATGCGCTGGCCGCGAGCGGCGATTCCTCCGCATCTGAAGCCGTTCCTCAAACCTCAAATGGGCGCCCGGAAGCCATTGCGGCCTTGTCCGAGAAGGCCAAGGTCGCCTTCGGAGAGAACAAGGGGCAATCCCTTGATCCAGCGGCTGTAGGTTTTGGTTCTGGCGCGCTGCGTCAGGACACCATGACCATCGAAATCGAGCCAGGCAAAGGCATGGAGCTGAAGTCCCACATGACCACGGGTGCAGGAATGCTGTTCCGCTGGACATCCAGCGCTCCGGTTGCCGTGGACATGCATGGCGAGAGACCTGACGTGAAGGGAGCCTGGACCAGCTACGCCGTAGAGGGCGCCCAATCGAAAGCAGAGGGGACTTTCATCGCTCCCTTCGATGGAACACATGGCTGGTATTGGCAGAACCGAGGTACCTCGCCGGTGATCATCACAATCGAACTGAATGGCTATCAGGCCGACCTGTATCAGCCGTAACACCCCCGGCATTCCGCCGGAACCAACCCAGGAGTCAATCCATGAAACTGCGTTATACGTTCGCTGTATGCCTCGTTGCCGGCCTGACATGGTCCTCAGGCGCATCTGCCCACGATCCTGCCTTGCATGCCGATCCGGTGCCGGCCGCCGCGCCACAAGCTAAGCCAAAGACGTGCGAGCAGCTGGCTGATCGATCGAAGTACAAGGTTGATCTGAATGACTCTCAGACCAAGGCATTGAAGGAGCGTTGCGACGCCGAGGCGGCTTCGGGCGCTAAGAAGAAGTAAGCGGTGGGCAATGTGGCCCGGCTGTAAGTGTCGGGCCACATTGATGCAGAAGTCGCAGTGCAGGCACCGTGTGCTGGGACGTCCGTTTCTGGCCGAGATCGGACATTGCCCGCCTCGTTGAGCCGTACGCCTTGGCTGCTTAGGGTCTCTTGCACTCGGTGCCGATCTGCTCAGTGAGAACTGTCAGGGACTGCTGGAATGCGGCGGCGAATTGCTGGCTGCCCTCCCTCTCGTGGCTATGGGCGATCGAGGGGAGCAGTCTGGTCCACGTGTCGAGCAGAATCACCGGGTCTTGGTGTGTTAGAAACGAAACCCGCAACCCATACTCCATTGCTTTGAGGTAGCCGCGGTGCATCTCAAGTGCGGCCTCGCAAGCGTGGAGGCGCTCAAGGATTTCTGTGATCTCGGAGGTCATGGCAGTCTGGACAGGCAAGGGGTGGGAAGGCGATAGTTTGCGAACATCTGGACGAGTCCGCCATGAGCATCCTCAACCTTCTGCTCACTCGTGATCACCTTGTCGTCGCCGTGGATACCTTGGCAGAGGATGCTCTCACAGGGGCACATTCCGCCGGGGCAAAGCTGCTGCTGATCCCTCAGCACAACCTGATGTTTGCTACGCGAGGTTCTACGCAGTTCTTCCTTCGCATTTATGAGCTGGCGCTGCAGGCTAGCTACCGCGCAGATTTCACAATGGAACAGTTATCTGCCGAGCTGGGGTTGGTGGTGGACCAGCTGTGGCCGAACTACGAGAAGGCGGCAGCCGAGGCAGGATTACCGATCGAGCAGCTCGGGACCGAGTTGGTGTTTGGTGGCTGGTCGTCGAAGAGCGACCGGATGATGGCCACGGCATATGCCAAGAGCGGCAGCCAGCACCCTTGCGTGGTCCAGCCGATCCGGGGGCAGCTGGCCTCACCAGGCGAACCGCTCCGGGCCGTGATTCCTAGCATGGCCCAGAAGGATCTGCTGGCCCACGCACGCCTGCAGGCCAGCTACCTCAATGAGCAACTTGGCCGGCGAGTGGCGGGAGGCCGGTTGCTGGCTGGGTTCTTGCAGAAGGGACAGGCCGTGCTCAAGGATCTTGGAGAGATCTAGGTCGTTGGCGGCAATCCGGCTAACGCCAGAATCCGCCCGCCCCTTATTTCTCTTCTCCGCGGGACCAGTAGGCTCAAGGCTAGTCGTGGATAAGAAAGATCTATCGGGGGAGGGGGCTATCGTCTTCTGACCGAAGCCGGGCATTGGTCAGTCGCCCGATACTGACTTGCGCCGGCTGCTGCCGCGCCCTCTCCTAACGCGACGATCCTCAGCAGCGACACGTTGGGGTTGGTCTTATCAGAAGGACAGGAAGCTGATCAGTGCTTCCCTAGAGGTGATGTGAGGCAGATGCCCAGTTGTGCAGGAACTCCTCTTGCTCCAATGTCTCAACGGCACCAAGGCGTACCATTCTCACGCGCCTGATCGCATCCTCGCTGCTCAGGGAAGTCTTGGTGCTGAGGAGAAGCATGCAGGCGACAGTGCCTGCTCTGCCAAGTCCGCCCTTGCAATGGACGACAACCCGTTTGCCGTTAAGTAGCGCGTTGCAGATGGACGTCTCCAACTCCTTCCATCGCTGGAGGAACCCGTAATCGGGCGCGGCGCCATCCACGATCGGCAGTCCGTACCACCGTAGACCATGGTCTGCTGCACGCTCTGGCAGAGCGGCGATCTGAAGATCCTCGAACTCCCAAGGCTCAATTAGACTGATGAGATGACTTGCGCCCCATGAACTTATAGCTTGAAGGTCCATATCCAAGTCTCGCGACCACGATCCGGTCATAGCTGTGACTTGATGCTTGCCAGGCGCGAACGTCACCCCGATGGCCCCACCGCAATGGCCAACCGGGAGAGTCGCAATCTGAAGGGGGTGGGAAAGACTGGTTCTAGTCACGCTGACTCCGGCGATTGAATGGCGCGCTCTGTCATGCAGAGAACCTAGACGTGGCTTCGTCTGCGGCTCTGGCGCGATGGCTTCGATTGATGCTTAGTCAGGCGAGCTAGAAAGCAGCGACACTCTCTCCCCGATGCGTCGCTGGGCGGCCTGCAACCCACTGTCATCAGCAAGGTACGGTGATGCGAATAGCGGGGCCTCAACCCAGAACTTGTGTTGACCCCGGTGGATGTAGGGGCGGTGGTCGTCAAGCAGCAGAGCTTGGCCAAGTAGTGGAGACACGAATCGAAGGTCCTTGGTAGGCCCAGTCCATTCGACGTAGCGGACCCCTGTGAACCAGCCAGGCACATGGCCTTCCTCAGCCAGAAGTAAGGCGATTCTTAGCGACATATGCCGAGATACCGTTGTGAAAAGCACAACCTCATCAAAGGTGGTTCTAGCATAATCTAGGAAATCCCGAAGTCCTGGTCGAGGAATTTGGCTGACCGCATTGGAGATCAGGGTTCCCTCGAGATCGAGGGCGAGGATACTGGGGCGCATGCGATAGGAGCCTATCTACGTTTGAGTGCGTCGTAAGAGACGCGATCTGAGTCCTGGCCCCTCTTGCTGCCGAGCCAGAATAGGAGGGGCGAGCCAGTAGTCGTCGCCAATAGGCAGTAGGCACTCCAACGCGACATCGACCATCAGCGGTCGCCGCCATGCAGGGTCCGGCAGAAAGCAGTAGTCAGACTTGCTTAGCGTTCCTGATGCTTGCTTGCGAGATAGCCAATCTGCTCGACTGCGTATCTCGCGGCTCAGCACGGTCAATGCTGCGGATTCGTCGCCGCCGGTGCTTAAGAACTCACTCGCAGCTCCCCGGACTGACGACCAAAGCACGTATCGCTTGCGTCCCAAACTCAGCTCACGCCATTCTCTTTCCTGTACACATAGGATCTCCTCGGCGTGTTGAGTACGGATCCGATGCTTGCGTAGCAATGACACGAGATAGGCAGCAGCTTCGCGGTCGGAAAGCTGACGCCAGAGCCACTGTCGGTCCTGTGCTCCAAGCGAGGGGCGCCATGCTCTAAGTGCATGGGTTAGTGAACTACTCAGGTCGTCAGGCAGCTGACTGCTCTCCCGATAGCTCCAGCTAATAGGGTCGTAAAGAGATCGCCTTGTAGAGCCATTTGACGAGCTCGTCTCAGCTAGGACCCCCGCTGTCTGAAGGAACAGCAGCAAGTGCTGCGCAACTGCTGTGTCAGCGGCCACAGGTGCGGAAATCGAAGTGGAGCGCTCGAGCGCACACCACGCGCACGCGTAGAACGGCCCAAGCGATACTAGCAGCGCATCGAGGTCTGGCCACGGAGGGATGAGGGTCTGTTGGTCACGACCATAGATCACTCGATCCCCGGCAGTTCAACCGGCTCTGATGCTAGCAAGCCACCGGAAAGTCGTCTACACAATTTTCATGTAGTGCCCGGCTCGGCCATAGATTTCGTTCCGCTCCTCCAGGCGGACCTGATGGCTACCAAGACGATCTACCAAAGTGCGTACCTTCGGTTGGTCGGCCTGCTCCGCGAGCGACGTGAGTCGTTGGGTATCAGTCAAACCCGGCTAGCCGCTCATCTGGGGTGGCCTCAGCAGCGAGTCTCTTCCGTTGAGTCTGGGGCCCGGCGCTTGGACGTATTGGAGTTCTGCCTCATCGCCGCTGCCTTGGGGTTCTCTCCGGCTGAGGTCTCTGATCAGGTCATGAAGATGCTACAGAGCGTGCGCGGCAGCCAGATTAAGGACCGGCACTAGCGAGCGACGGTGGTGATTGCGTCAAGCCAGATGATTCATGTGGGCTCTTTCTGCGGGGGCCACCTGTGAAGCGAAGAACCTT